CTCTCTCTCTCTCTCTCTCTCTCTCTCTCTCTCTCTCTCTCTCTCTCTCTCTCTCCCTTTGTGCGTCTGCGCGATCACCCCCTTTCCTCCGTCCACCGTGCTATGCATCTCCTGCGGCTCCTTCGTTCTTCTTCGCTGCTGCATGTTGCCTCTCGATCCTCCTCGCCATATCCAATGCTAGCCAGCACTCTTCCTCGACTTTGGAGGGAGGAAGGTCGCGAGCTTTCTCTCTCTCTCTCGCGCGGCCTCTTCTTATCGACGTCGGGTTGTCTCTCTCCTTTTCCAGATACCTCTGCACCCCATGTCCTGTTGCGTCTCTCTCTCCTGTTCAACTCGTTGTCTTCTTCCTCGACAGCTGCTTGGAGCTCCCATGCATAGCGTAGCTGCCAGGTGAATCGTCCATGTGTGCACTGCACCCCATGGACGACGTCCCTCCTATCGAACAGGCTGTCGTCCGGCCATCTTATGCTGAAGGGGCTTATGGGCCCTCCTTGACCGCCGTTGGTGCTCCTCGAGGTCGTGCTGCCGCTCGTGTTGCTCCTCGACCGCATGCCTTTGCCACGCACCATCACGATGCACCGAGCAAGATAGATAGATAGATAGATAGATAGATAGATAGATAGATAGAGAGAGAGAGAGAGAGAGAGAGAGAGAGAGAGAGAGAGAGAGAGAGAGAGAGAGACACACACACAAAGAGAGAGAGAGAGAAAGAAAGACTGTAGGAAATAGACAGAGAGAGACAGAGCGATGGAGAGGGTATGGAGAGGGTATGGAGCGGTAGAGTGCACGAGTTGCACGTTCGCATGCTCCATCCTCGGCTTGGTCAACGTTTTATACAATAATAAGTGTTGACCTGGCCCGGGCCTTAGGCTATAGGAACGTTGACTTCATCCTAGGCCCGGGCGGGTACCGATGTTGACATCAGTGTGGACCTGGGCCTGGTCTCGCGTTTACCTGGGCCTAGAGTAGGTCTCGATCCTGGGTTTTGGGTCCAGGCCCAGGTTTAAGACGTTGCCCGGGCCCAGGTCCACGCTCTGTTGTTTTTTTTTTTTTTTTTTTTTTTTGTCGTTTCGAAGCCCTACTTTGTGTGCCTGTCTGCCTGTCTGTCAGTCTGCCTGACAGGCAGACAGGCAGACAGGCAGGCAGACTTTTTGTTTGTCAGTCAGTCAGTCTATCTGTTTGGTTGTCTTCCTATCTGCCTGTCTGCCTGTCTGTCTGTCTGTCTATCTCGCAGGTGTTGACGTGGCAGACAGGCAGACAGTGAGGCAGGCAGACAGGGTTCGCGACACAAGGCAGGTCGGGAACACAGACTCGGCGCAGGTTTAGGACACAGCCCGAGGGTCAGGTCGGGGAAAGAGGCCGGGAGCAGGCGAGGGAGACGGGTCCAGGGAAGGGTGGGCACACAGGACCAAGCACGTAGCATGTAGGGGACAGCCCCACGCTCTGCCTGAATCTTGGGTCCACGCTCAAGGGTAACCAGCTGACCGGGCCCAGG